AATATATTGGATCGAAATATGTTTCATTTTGCTCCGAATAGAAATAAACATTTCCTCCATAGGTTTGTTCATTATTTCAGAGGAGCATCGCATTGTAAGGGGAGGTCAGATCAAAACGGTATTTCAGCTTGGGGTGGTGTTTACTGCCCTAAGCAAAGATGTTAAAAGACTGAGGGAAAATGCATGAGAGTAAACAACAACATATCCCATATCAATATAAACATTGAACATGCATCTGCAATTGAAATTTCTTTATCATGACTGCAAACAGAGGAAACAGAAACTCGTGCCAAGGAAACTTCACCTCGCCATACACCACATTGAGAAGCATCAGCCCCCTGTCATAGTCTGTATACTTCCATGGCACATTCCCTTCTCACTGCCTGGTGCTTTCATCTCAAATGCAATCTTGCCATCAAATCATCAATCCTAGGTACCCTTCTACGCTGAACATGCTACGTCATGAACCCACTCTCACTGTTTGACCTCCCTGCGAATCACAATACTGCCCAGTTATGTTCCAGATCCATCGGCCTTCTTTGTGCCCTCTTTTCTCTGCGAACTGCAAGATGAGAACTGCCAAAGCCCGTATGTTGGGGAGAGAAGGATGCGAATGCGGGGGATATGTGGGATGGACCGTGGACGCGGGGGAGGGATCTTGTTTAAGAATAGACTTGTGGATCGTCGTCCATGCTTGGATGCTCTCTGCAGAATCACATGCAGATTCGAGCTGAAAGAAGAAGTAGACCCGGGGCGCTGGGCCCAGCCCTTGAACTTCATGACCTCATGTTGGTCTTAATTTGGGCTTCCAGCCAAGGAGAAGGATGGCCTGACTCGTGGGGTGACAAGGGAAGCTGCTTAGCTAGTAAAACTTAGATGATTTTTTTCTTGAGATGAACACTCTAGCAGGGTGGTTTGTATTGGATCTAGGCCGGGGTTAGACAAGTTGACGCAATGGCCAGCCCGACCAAGCTGGCTGTCACGCAACTGCCGGGTCTAAATGGCCGTAGTAAATGCTTGAGTTGACATTGAGAAAAAGAAAGCGACATTTTATTTAAAAAGCACTTCTACGTAACCTTCTCATCGCTACCGTCCCGGATATGTCGGCCATGACGGGTAAAAGGAAATCAGAGGCCTCACCTAGAATAAAAGAACACGGGAAAATAGCGGCCAGCTGGGAGGATGAGAACTAGGGAATGTCGACCAGGATACCTCGGCGCATTGTGGGCAGGTGGAATCCCGTACCTGAAATCTCAACTTTCTATACGTTGAACTGGGAGTTCCTAAAGGGCCGAGTCATGAGCCCCAGTCGGATAACGGATGTGTTTTGCTGGAAACCCACTACCACTCCACCGGTTCATCCACAATACCGCCGAACAAGAAAACAGAGAGAAGAAAATACAACGGCGACCAGCCCACATTTCCGTGCCGGTATCCATCCTCATTGGCCCGCTTGATCCCGTTCGTTCTCTGTTCTGGAACCTCCAGCCGGGAATGTTGACGTCCAACCCTAACCCTCTGTATACACTACTTACACACAGGGGTACTCCAAGCGGCTCTTCTCGACCCCATGCCATGAAGATATCTTCCCTTCCAAAAAAAAAGACCTTTCCACATGGCAGGCCAGGGCAGTACCGCGCTGGGCGTAATTTCTCCTCATAATTTTCCCAACTATTCTCCAAGCTCCCCGGCCAGATTCTCCCCACATGGAGCATAGCTGGAGGTGGACTCTTTCCCCCTGTTCTACCCCGGCCACCATGCACCCCCGAACGGGGATGAGGCACCGACAGGAGACCACGGGACCAGTTTGCCAGCTTCTGGCCTTGATGCCCCAGATCTACTGTTCTAGTCACGCCAGTTCTGGGGGATGGGGAAGCGTCCCAGCTGCAGTATAATAAGGATTCACGATCCCCAGATTGTAACCGTCTTCTATCTCTCTCATCACACTATCAACCTTCCAATCATCATTAGGCAGTCTCATCCATCTCCCAGATCATCCGCTCCCCTTCCCCGGATCTTCTCATCTTTAAGGCTTTACCCGTTCCCCCAACAAATTTCACTCCCCTTCACTCCTCAATCCGTCGACAAGATGGGAGGCGGTGGCCTGGCTGCACCAGTGGGTGACGTCTCGCGCGTCGAGGCGCCCGTCACTGTCAAGGCGTACATGATGTGCGTCTTTGCCGCCTTTGGCGGTATCTTCTTCGGCTACGACTCTGGATACATCTCGGGAGTCATGGGCATGGAGTTCTTCATCCACCAGATCGAGGGCCCCGAGGCCATCATCCTGTCCGCCTGGAAGAAGTCTCTTGTCACATCTATTCTCTCTGCCGGCACATTCTTTGGCGCCGTCATCGCCGGTGACGTTGCCGATTGGATCGGCCGTCGCCCTACCGTCATCTTTGGCTGCCTCGTCTTCATCGTCGGTGTCATCCTCCAGACTGCTTCGTCCGACCTTGGCCTCCTCGTCGCCGGCAGACTCATTGCTGGTCTCGGCGTCGGTTTCGTCTCGGCTGTCATCGTCCTCTACATGTCTGAGATTGCTCCTCGCAAGGTCCGCGGTGCTATCGTGTCTGGATACCAGTTCTGCATCTGCATTGGTCTTCTCCTCGCATCGTCGGTCGACTACGGCACTCAGAACCGCCAAGATAGCGGCTCCTACCGCATCCCAATCGGCCTGCAGATGGTTTGGGCTCTTATCCTGGCCGGTGGTCTCTTCCTGCTTCCCGAGTCTCCTCGCTTCTTCGTCAAGAAGGGCAAGCTCGACCAGGCCGCTTCCGCCCTATGCAGCCTTAGAGATCAGCCCTTCGACTCGCAATACGTCCAGGATGAGCTCACCGAAATCGTCGCCAACTACGAGTACGAGATGAGCTTGATCCCGCAGACCAACTACTTCGGAGCCTGGGCCAACTGCTTCAAGGGCACGCTTAGCGACTCCGGCAGCCCCCTTCGCCGTACCATCCTCGGCACCTCGATGCAGATGATGCAGCAGTGGACCGGTGTCAACTTTGTCTTCTACTTCGGCACCACTTTCTTCCAGCAGCTCGGTACAATCCAGGACCCCTTCATGATCTCTCTCATCACCACCCTCGTCAACGTTTGCTCCACGCCCCTCTCCTTCTGGACCATGGAGCGCTTCGGCCGCCGTCCCCTTCTCATCTGGGGCGCCTTGGGCATGTGCATCTGCCAGTTCCTCGTCGCTATCATCGGCACCGTCCTCCCCAACAACGACGGCGCCACTAAGGCTATGATCGCCCTCATCTGCATCTACATCTTCTTCTTCGCTACCACCTGGGGCCCCGGCGCCTGGGTCGTCGTCGGCGAGATCTTCCCTCTCCCTATCCGCGCCAAGGGTGTCGCCCTCTCTACCGCCTCTAACTGGCTCTGTAAGCTGCCCTTCCCATTAATACTACTCACCGCTCCAAACCACATTTGCTAATAGAAACCCAAAGGGAACTGCATCATTGCCGTCATCACCCCCTACATGGTCGAGCCCGACCGCGGCAACCTCGGCGCCAAGGTGTTCTACATCTGGGGCGGCCTCTGCACCCTCTGCTTCGTCTACTCGTACCTGCTCATCCCCGAGACCAAGGGCCTCACCCTCGAGCAGGTCGACCAGATGCTGCAGGAGACCACCCCGCGCACCAGCTCCCGCTGGGTGCCGCACACCACCTACGCCGCCGAGATGGGCATGACCGACAAGCACTCTGCCGGCCACGTCGAGCACAAGAACGAGGTCGAGAGCGTCTAAATCACAACAATCGATACCATTTTTCTCTACTACTACTACTACTACTACTACTACTACTACATACAGTGGTGTGTCTTGCATTTTCTGAGGAGTTTTTCGAAACAAGGAGGACAACTGTTTCTGGGGGATAATATGGGGGGAATACTACTACCGGGTCGGGTACGGGAATTGAATTTGGGAACAAGTTGTTACGATTATCATGTTGTCAGAGATATACTGTATATTGATTTTGAGAATACTATTAATCATTGTCTCAAACAAACCATCTATGCTCCTACCTATGAGTCTGCAAAAGTTGCGAAGTGATCAGCGCTGCCAACAACAACACAAAAAAGGGGGAAACCCCACAGCCCCACTTTATGATCTCGCGACATGGTTCTCCTCACTTTTCTTGAATTTCTTCCCCTCGGGGGAGTTGCGCTTTTCTCCGCTGGGTGACAGAGAATTGGGACAAAATGAATGGGGTCAGGTTCTCTTCAGAGGAGAATGACAAGATAATTTTGCACCGGGGTAGAATTCTTGTGGCCGAAATTTGGATCGCAATCCTTGAACTGAATGCTACCCTGTCGTTCCCACTCCCTCTTTGTCCTCCTACCATGAAGCCCCTTTGCTGACCTGAAGAAACCACAGACAATCAGAAACCACATCTCTATATGGGATTTATACCCCTCGTATCCCAGCCAAGGAAAAAAAACCGTTGTCACCGCTGTCTCTCGCCCTTGGCCTTGAGGAACTCGTGGCCATCTGCCTGACAGGTTGGTAATGTAAGTTCTTTGCACTGCCCAGCTTCTGGACCCTTCCCCTGTGCTTTTTGTACGACCCAGTCAGTCTCTCTCCATAAATGCCATTAAAGTGGTCCTGAGCGGGTATCCACGCAATTACCAACAATTATCCACCACATGACTCGCCTCTCCGAGAACAAGATGCAAGGCGTTTCATGAGGAGATGAAATTGCAGGTATTGACAGAGACTGACGGTAATCATAGGATGGATCTACACTCATTCAAGGAACTCAACCTTGACAAGAAGTGATGCTTTAGCTACGGAAGGTGATGATCGTACACACAACCAAAGCCGCAGTTCTATAACCGGTGTAAAAAGAAACAAACCCCACAGGTCAACTAATACCTCCACCAAACGCCTCCATCCTCAGTCCTCACACCACCAACCTAAAGGCCATCAACAAACCCCCAAAAGAAGAGTTTTTACCCCACAGAAGCGAACTGTGGAATATCAACTTTACCAGTTGTCATGATTAGAGTGGGATTCGAACCCACGCCCTTTCGGACCACGGAATCAATGTTTGATAGAATTAAGGGTTTAAATCTCCTTAACGTGGCGCCTTAGACCGCTCGGCCATCTAACCTTGTTGAACTTGTTGGAGATTGACTTCGTTCCATCCGCACATCAACCCCCACCCCCCCTTGCTTCCATTCTCTGATCGGGTTCTTTTTCCGTTCCACCCCTTTCCTTTCCCCTTCCCTCCATCCCTTCTGTATCCCATCCCAGTCTTGCATTCCATCTCATGATAATACTCTTCTTCATCCTTTCCGCCACATCTCATACCGTCCCATCCTTCCTTTTCTTTTCCTTTATGCATTTAACTCCACAGCTCCACCATCTCTTAACCACCCCCCTTCCCATTCCATCTGAAGCTGCAGAAGAGCCGGTATTGCCGTTTGTACGTACGGAGTAAAACAAGCAAACGATCGTCGACCGGCGACCTGCTTGTATGTGTGGCTTGTGTATGCATGCGTGTACATATACACAATTTTCGATACTGCCTCATTCCTCTCCCACTACCAATTCCTCGTCATCCAAATAGTTCCCAACGCGTGAGCCACCAAAGCCATCATCAATGCAATACAGAAAACGATGCGGAATGCGGTGACCATAGTGATTTGAGTAATATTGGGTCGTTGGCTGGTGGGGTTAGTGAGCGGCTGGTTGTTTGGATGCTGGGTGGGTTGCTTGGATGGGTTGCTTGACGTAGAGAAAGGGACAGGTTTGTGGATTGGGAGAGGAAAGAGTGACTGATTGACTACTGGTAGAAGAAGGCTTCAGGGAAATCTGAGCTTTCTCCGAACTTTATGCATTGCTAAGGTTTGACGTCTCAAAAATTAGAAAGGCATGTGTGTGGCTGGAATAAGGATGTCGGCAAAGGCAAAGTATAACAGGTCGGAGATATCGTGACCGGTGACCCTGGTGCCGAACCGTCCGCTGTTCTAAGGACATTAGCTGGCCCAGAAGCTTTTGGTGTCTAAGATAGGCAGGAGAGTAGATGCAATTAGCATACGAAATAACCATACTTAGAGGGCATATCGGCGTCAAATACTTTGACACAGCGACTATACTTGGCTCGCTGATGGACGAGTCATAAATCGTTGAATATCGGGGTATCTATCTAATTACTGTCGTATCTACAGACCCTGTGTGAGATCTCTCATCAGTCATCATTCTCAGTAGCAGCGTGTATGCGTAATCGTACAAGGAAGCTGCCCAGAAGGGGACTTGCAGCAGCAGGAGCAGCAGCAGGAGCAGCAGCAGTGCCGTCACGTCTTTTCGTGCGTCGGACCCAGCCCCCCCCGCCCCCCCCCCCCCTCCCCCCCGGTCACGCGCCGCACCTCTCGAGATACAACCTCCAAGACCCCTTTCCCCGGTGTGCGGTCTCTGCGCAAAGCGACGAGGTGGACCTCATTATCGAATTACAATCTCGACTCCCGGCACCCCCACCAAAGACGAGACAATACTGACTCTAAAACGACATCGTCCTTGTAGGGCGAGTTGAGCTGAGCTATGCCAGTGCCACGTCAATGCAGCATGTATGGCGGTAAGCAATGGCTGTGACCAGCAATCTTGTTCTTCTGAGCACGACCAGGCTGTCCGAGCGTGCCATGTTCCTGTTGTTTGGCTTTGCGTGAGAGTGGTGCCCCTCAGCCCCTCTAGTTGGCAAAGATTCTCACGTTCAAGTCCACGCTGCCTGTAGCAATAACACATCGGATCTGAGCGTCGGCCCCCGGGGCAGCGTTGGCGTTTTTCCTTGGAGTGCCGTTCTGGTTCCCATTCTGTCCGTCAGTGCCGTTGGCCACGGGCACGGATTTAACCACCGATGGTGCCCATCTGATGCACTGCACAAAGTGCCCGTGTGCATCTCCTATTACTTTAACGCATCTTCCTTCCTGTGTGAGATCCCAGCACCGCAGGGTCTTGTCGTCGGCGACCGATAATAGATATTTCCCGCCTGGATGAAATACCAGTCCCCGCACCCAGTTGTCGTGGCCAACGAGTGTCTTTATGCAGTTGCCACGCCCATCCCATAACCGAATCGTTTTATCTCTTGAGCCCGTTGCCATGAACTCGGCTGTGTTTGTTAAAGGGGGTTTTTTGATGCCAGCTATAGTGGCAAGGTGTGCATATGAAGCCGGCGGTGCGATAGCGCAACATATGACATAGTGTTCGTGACCGATGAGGGTGACCCGAGGCTCGGGATTTGGTATTGAAACATCCCACAACCGGCCCGTGTAATCGTCGCTCGTCGATAGTATAAATCTCCCATCAATGGATGGGCAGACATCACGCACCCACTCGGCGTGGCTGCGCAGGGTCTTGACACAATATCCCGTGCTCACATCCCATATTCTTAGTGTCTTGTCTCGACTTGCGCTAACCAGCAGGTTTCCGGACGCACCCGCCACGCTAGAAGGGATAAAGCGTACAGCACTAACGCTGTGATCGTGGCCGGGCAATGTCCGAATATTTTTGTAGCAATCATTTGGATCCCATAGCTTGATGGTCATGTCTGAGCTGCACGAGGCGAGGAGTGTATTGTTGCGTGGACCGCCAAAGTCGAGGTCCAAGACAGCTTTGGTATGACCCTTGATGGTCCTTTCCAGCTCGCCGAGTTCCCAGTCCCAAATCTTGATAGTTTGATCCTCGGAACCCGAGGCGAGAGCGGAGAAGACAGGATGGAATGCGACGCAAGTTATGGGATCTCGATGTGACTGCAGGGTGTGTCGTGCTGGGGACCGAGGGAGCCAGGCTACAGGGTCCTTATTTTGCCGAGAGGTGGGCGTCGCGGTATCAAGGGCTGTTTGTAGGGCGTGATTCCGTGCCTCGAGGTCCATAATCTAGCGGGTGGCCCATGTTAGACAATACGTCACAGCACAAATGCATCTAGGTCAAGCTTCTGGATCTAGCTGGGATGGAGCTGGGGCTGGGGCTGGACCGGGCGGCGATTATGTGTTGTGCTGAGGGGCACACCTTTTTCTGCAAGCGTACGACGCTCGTCCATTTCTTTTCTAATAAACCCTCATATTTCTTTGCCGTATCTGTGCCGAAGACGTCTTCACCGAGATTAAGCTCTGCTCTAAGGGCGGCAGCGGTGCTCGTCAATTTGTTTGCCGACAGGTATGCGATGAGGGCCCGGTGTCTGGAGCAGGCAGTCAGCTTCTGTGGCTCCGCGCAGAGAGGCATGCCATGGTGGACACCTACAGCTCCTCAGCTTGGCGGGAGGTCAGTAGCTGAGCCATGGCGGCAAGGTAATGCTACTTGGCTCGCTTGTCGTTCGATTTGATGCCACCGTGGTTGAATGGCTCGTCGAAGGCAAGGCAAGGGCAACGACGAGGGAGAGGGCGAGGGTGAGGTGGGCCCTAGGTAGAGGATGGAAAGAAGACGAGCAGATGCGCAAGTGGTCGCTCTGGGCTGGTTGTCGCTGGTGGTGGGCGATCCCTCTCCGACGCGGCGTGCGCTGTCAGTTGGTGTGTACCTTAGGGATGGAGGTGCAGGTGGAAATGCGTTGGTGATAGTTGCAGACGATGGATGCAGTGCCCTAATAATTGATATCCATGACTGGGGACTAGGGCAGTTTGTAGGGCAGTTTGCAGGGCGTTTGCAGGGCAGTGAGCAACACGTCGACGATCGGAGCCCGTCTCGTGGTCGGAGGAGAGAAGCCGCCGTCTGTGGCCGCAGGTTTCAGATGTTGCCGGTTGTTCGTCAAATCCAAAAAGGCGGAGAGTTCACAGGAAAAGTGGATTGGGGCCAGGGTGACAGGGAGCCCAGCCCGGGAGCTGCTGTGCTTGTCTGTTGTTTCGTTCGTTTGTTTACCCTATCTAATCTGGGGAAGCTTGGGAGAGGGGACTGGGTGCACGGACGGGAAAAGAGAGCCCTGAATTCGCTGAAATCGAGCAATAAAAACTGCCAGGGACCCAATGGAATAGCGGGGTACGACGGACAACTCATCAACGCAACAACATCAGTGGTCGATAATGGAGGAGATAAAACATGTCCAGCCATCAATCGAACAAGCTATCTGTCATCTTTCTGGGAAGCAGCTGTCAGGAGGGAGCTTGCCGGTTGTCTACGGCAGAATGATGCGTGACATCACAGGCTCACGGGCATATGCCAATCGATGACTTTTGGGTTTCTCCAGCAATGGCCCGCGGGGGCACTTGGCCAGCCGCGCCACGTCAACAAGCTGGCGGGGGATGGATCGATGCACCACCCCTGAGTGCGCCGCGGCCTGACGTGAAAGCCACATGAGAGACTTGGACGCACAAATATCTAATACTCCACGAGGTAGTAATAAATAAGAAAGAAATGATGCTTTTATCAGATAAACAATAGTTCTGCCATCGTATCATTCCATTGCAGTCAAATTGCCCATAATTCATACCTGTGCGCGTCCATAGGTACCGCATCGATGTCGGCGCGGTGCTACCACCTCCCTCCGAACATTTAAGAGCTTCAGCGGCGATCTCGCTGAAGATCACCTGACCTGCCTTCCACCACAGGCCGCGGGGTCTCAGCCAGCCCACCGCAAGCCAAGCCCCCCCAACTAGCAACCTAACCCAGCCAGGGCAAGCCAGGGTCAGGGCCGCCCTGGACACGCTTGCCTCTTGTGTCCCGCCAACCAGAATTCATTGCGGGCGGCAGCAACGACGACAGCGTCAACAATCCCGTCGTACATCAACCTTTTCTTCTCTCGCGCCTTTCGCAACCCACCCCGCCAAAACGCAGGAACGACCGCCACGAGCGTCCATCCACAGGTACCTACCTACCCCTATAGCGTTTTTGACTTCCAGCCAGGTGCAACATACGCGCAATCACTACCTATATTCAGCAAAGAGCGAAGAAGGAAACCCTTCTTTTCTCCCCTAACAATCAAGCCGCCAACTAGCAAAGGCGTATGTCGTCCCCAAACCCCAAACCGCGAGCTTGCTCATGGAAGCTGCGCTGCGTTTCTCCTCAGATTTCGATCCCCCTCCCAACCAGCTCATTTGATGCAACCCCTTCCCCTTCTTGCGGCCATTATGGTTGGTCCAAGGAAACACTTTTCAATCCAGAGACTGATCAAGCGAGTTGCTGGTTTAGGCCGCGCCGGACAATCTTCGTCGTCGAATACAACCGACCCCTCCCAACCCGCCAAACCACCCAAGCGGCCAGAATCGTCCCCGAGGTCGCCCCATTCAGCCACCCTCATACGCCACCCACAGACTTATCGACAGAGATGGCAGAAGAGGAGGACTTTAGCGCGTTGCCCGTAGAAGACCGCTGGGTACACAAGGTATGCTGATATACCAAGGCCTGCTCGAACTCATAGCGCCCTAGATCCGGCTGTCGACAAATGCTAACCCTGGCTCTCTGTTGGCACGGACAGGTCTGGAAAGTACGCAAGGCAGCATACGAAGAGGCCGCCCAGGCATTTGAGAAGTCACCAGACGAATACGCCCCTGTCTTTAGGCCGTTTGTCCAGGACTCGAGTTTGTGGAAGGGCGCAGCGGCAGACTCCAATGTTGCAGCACAACAAGAAGGACTAGCTGCTCTATGCGCTTTCCTGAAATTCGGCGGCCGCGAGGGAGCCGTAAGAGCTAGGCAGCATGCCGTCACACCGATTGTCGAGAAGGGTCTTACGTCGACACGAGCTGCGACCAAGGCCTCTGCCGTCGAGGCACTACTACTCTTCGTCGAACTCGATGTCCCCGGCCCCGTGATCGAAGACATCCTACCCGCGTTGTCCAACAAGCAGCCCAAGGTTGTCGCCGCATCCCTCGCAGCCTTAACATCGATTTTTCACAACTATGGCTGCAAGACAGCCGATCCCAAGCCGGTGCTCAAGATTCTACCAAAAGCGTTTGGTCATGCCGACAAGAACGTGCGAGCCGAGGCCACAAATTTGGCCGTCGAGTTTTACCGGTGGCTTCGTGAGGCCATGAAGCCTATGTTTTGGAATGACCTCAAGCCTACACAGCAGACTGATCTTGAGGCTCAGTTTGAGAAGGTCAAGGCGGAGGGTGCCCCCAAACAAGAGCGGCTGTTGAGGTCACAACAAGCTGCCAAGGAGCGCGCCCCAACTGCGAGCGCCGAGGCCGACGAATATGATGACGGAGGGGATGATGAGCCAGCCGAGATTGATGTATTCGATTTAGCGGAGCCGCAAGATGTTTACAGCAAGATCCCGAAAGATTTCTTTGATAACACGGCTTCAACCAAGTGGAAGGAGAGAAAAGAAGCCCTGGAGGCTCTCTACGCTGTCGTCAATGTGCCAAGGATCAAGGATGCTGACTTCCACGACGTCACCCGCACGTTGGCCAAGTGCATGAAAGATGCCAACATAGCAGTTGTCACCCAGGCGGCGCAATGTATCGAATTACTAGCCAAGGGTCTACGAAAGAGCTTCGCCAAGTACCGCGGGACCGTCATGGGCCCCATCATGGAGAGGCTAAAAGAGAAGAAGCAGACTGTCGCAGATGCTTTAGGCTTGGCTCTAGACGCCGTTTTCCTCACGACCAATCTGACGGATTGCATGGAGGAGATCACAACGAGCCTCGCACACAAAAACCCACAGATCAAGGAGGGCACAATGAAATTTCTTGTCAGGGCCTTAAGGACAACAAGAGATGTTCCCAGCAAGGAAGAGATCAGGACTCTGGTAGAATCGGCGAAGAAGCTCCTGGCGGAAGGAAGCGAAGCACTTCGATCAGGTGGTGCTGAAATTCTGGGAACGATTATGAAGATAATTGGCGAACGAGCTATGAACCCCCATTTGGAAGGTCTGGACGATATTCGAAAGGTCAGGATCAAGGAGTTCTACGAGGTGGCTGAAGTCAAGGCCAAAGAGAAGCCGAAGCCGCCCCCAGCACCAGTTGCCCGAGGACCGCCTCCGAGGAAGGTGGTGGGCAAGAAAGCGCCCCCGGGCATCAAAAAAGCTGCACCGCCCGCAGCCGCCCCTCCCGTGGAAGTCGCCCCTCCACCCCTAGCACCTCAGCCAACCTCTCGTCCAGTTGCTAGCAAACTCGGGATGCCGAAGCCAGGGGCACTTGGAGGACTCAAGGCCCCACAAAAGCGGACGCTTCCAGGCCTTGGCACTGCTTCACCAAGACGAGCTGCGGCTCCCTCTCCGCCCTTGGATGAAGATCCCCCGTCTCCTACCACACCAAAGGCGCCTGCGCAGCGAATGGGTCTTGGTAGAGGTGGCCTCGCAGGTCGTTCCTTGGCCTTGGCCAAGCCAGCCGCGCAAGCTCCACTGGCCGCATCACCATCTCCAACCCCTTATTCCAACCTGGCGCATGTTGAGCGTGCAGAGCTTGAGGAGCTTCGTGATGTCAACGAGCGGCTACTGAAGCAGATAGAGGATGCCCGACATGACCGGTCTAAACTCATGTCGGAAATCCAAGAACTCAAGAACCAGAATGCTGGTCTGATTGAAGACCATACTAGAGATGTTCTTTCCATAAAAGCCAAGGAGACACAGCTGGTTAGAGCTCGCAGTGATGCTGAGGCGGCAGAACAAACGAACGAACGTCTTCGCCGCGAGCTGGACCGTCTCAAGCGCGCCCTGAGCAAAGCCGAGGCCGCTGGCGCCAACAACGGACCAACAAGCCCAAGCTCCCCTAATATCGGCTTCGGCATGATGAGCCCATCGCATGACGACGCTGGTATCTACCGTGATGGGGGATATCCATCCGGCCCTAACAGGAACCGCATGAGCTTTGCGAGCACGATGAGCGAGGAGAAGGAGAATGGCGAGAGCGCACCATTCCCACGCAACAAGCTGAGCCCCGAGATTAGGTATGCCGGTAGCGCAGCGAGCAGCGGGCGTGGAAGTCCTGCGAGAGGGTTCAGACGGGACGTGCCTGCTGATAACAATAACAATAACAATAATCGAGAGGCGCGGCCGGATCCCCAGTCAGCAGGCGGAGGATACACAAGTTACACCGATAGGTCGGATAGCCAGGCTGGCAGCCGGGCAGGTAGCAGATTGGGCGAAGCGCCTTCCACCGGAACCTCTATGGGGACGGGTGTGGAGAGCTGGAAGAGGGCGGCTGAGGTAACGAGTCAGTTGAAGGCGCGGATTGAGCAGATGAAGGCGAGTTTCTGCCGCAGCACTAATAAACTTGGAGACCAACCACTGACTGATTGTTAATAACAGGCAAAGCAAGGGATCAATCGCCATTAGGATAGTCGTGGCACCTCGTCTAAGCTGCCATCCGCCGAGCCGCTACCTCGACACTGCTCTTGACCAACACAACACCAACAACAACACATGCATTTGGGTTTCTATTTCTTTCGTTAATTAGGGACGCTGGACCGGCAGGCACGCAATATGATCAACCCCCGCGTGTATTTTTGATGCATTTTCAGGGCGTTGGGGCGTTGGTTGGGGGAAACATTAACCATACCATACCATACCATACCCATCTTTATTTCCTCCTATCCTCACCAGCTGGTTATTCTTGGTCATTACCTGGTTGGTGGTCTGGCTCGAACAGGGCCTCACTTACATGTATGACATGGGTACCCTCTTTTTGTTATTTATTCTATTTGTCTTGGGTTTATAAGCCGCTATTGTCAGCGAGAGTTTTTTCTGGTCTGGTCCGGGTGGGGGCTCTACGCATGCGATGGATCGACGATGGGTGGTTCTTTCTTCGGTCTGGATGCGTTTCGTCGGGTCGCCCTGGATGGAATGGAATGGATAGGGTTTTGTTAGTCAGTCCACGGTGTCATGTGTACTTTGCTTAGAAATATATATGTGTGAGGGGGCCGGTAGACGGTCATGCATATTCTTTCGGTTAGTTAGTATTGGCGCGGCGGGCGGGCGGGCTAGCGCGGTGGGTTGGTAATTCTACATATTACAATATGGATGTGCTTCCTGCATATTCCTGTATACCTAGAATGCATGGGTTAGAATGTAAATATGAGATTGACTGGCGTGCTCCTTGGAGATGATCATGGACCTGTTTGGCGGTGCTGATGATGGACGATGGGCAGGCAGTGAGTGTCGTCGTGAGGATGGCTAGCCAAGAAAAAGGGGCACTGAAAGAAAGGGGTTTGTTTGGTCTGTGCGCACGCCTTAACAATATTTAGACAGGGGTGCCTTGTCTGACTCAAAACAGGAAAGGGAGGACCTTCGTGACTGTGCTATGAATTGTTTACACATCTGTCTATCATGGTTGTGTTTCTTTGTCGTTGCATAATTAAGCGTTCCTTGTGGTTTGGAAAAGAGGAAGTCCCGCAGCATTGAATTTAAGACGTGTCTTTCACAGATAAAAACATGCGATTACATGGTTAAGGTCGAGGAATATGGATTGAAACCAGACATAGCGCATTTACAGATGCGTCTCGGAGTACATCATAATTGCCTTTGTGATGAATGAGTCACAAAGGGTGGTGGGTAAGAGTAGTATGAACCGAACAGTTGGGATTCGCGTTCATCCATTTTGAAGGTGATCTTGTCATCGCCATGGGCACCACAGAACTATAGGGCAGCAGAGGAAAAGAAAAAAAGAAGAAAATTTGATAAGACAGTGCATGTACACAACCGTATGCTGTGAGCCTATGACTGCTGAGGGCTGAACATGACCATCAGACTGAACTTCAGAGGACTGACTAAGCTTCGGACTCAGAGTTTGGTCGGGAAGGTGCGTGCCTCGTGCCTTCCGCTGCCTGCCTCGTGCCTCCTGCCAGCCCTTCCATCCAAGCCATGTGAGCGGCCCTGAAAGGCCCATATGAGCTCGCATGCAGCACACCTTCCTCAACAAACACATAAGAAAAGAAGCGCGGTTAGTTCAGTGGTTAGAATTCTCGTTTCCCATCTTATCAACGTGGTCCAGCGAGGGACTCGAGTTCGAATCTCGGATCGCGCAGCTACTTTCGTTTTTCTTTTTGTCGAATTACACTCATTTTATGACTATCTCTAAACTTTGTTTCTTTTTGCCTCTTCTCCCGCCGTTCTTGCTTCCATTACACAGCCAACCGACCCACCTGATCATGCATCACCACTCCTTCCACGACACGACCAGCGAACAAGCCAGACAAAGGCAAGCAAAGCAGGTGGGAGGAGGAGTAGTGTCAGGTACAAGTATTTGGTGAACCCTAATTTATCTACCTTATCATTCGCCATGAAATGCACTAATCAATCAATACTTGTCTTGTATAGCTCGCTTAAGTTTTCCTGATCGGAACGTGAAAAGAAAAAAGACCTCCCCAAACTCCCAAAACCCCAAACTCAAACTCAAACCCCCCCAAGAAGAGAAAACCTTCGTCCAACATGTCCGCCTCTCGAAAAAAAAAAAAGAAGAAGAGAAACACGCAACCATTTGCTCCATAATACCACAAACCACCGTCCGCTGTCATCGTCGTCGTCATCGTCGAGAACTCATCGATCCCACAGCACACCAGTCCATAGGTACCTAGTAATCTCTCTTCCTTTCCATCCTTTTCATCCCGTCAGTCCCAACCCACAATGTCGAACTTTGAACGTTACGCACTTACAATTTTCGACAAACCCATCCCGCCGCCGCAGTGAGTGAGTCAAAGTCAGCCATGAAATTCGCATCGAGCCGACCGTCGACCAATGCGCAAGCTATCCCCATCCCCATCTCGCCAGCGGCCAGCCCTCTCCTCACTTCTTCTTATTCCGAGGAATCGTATACTTGTTGTAGCTCTCCGGGCCGCCATTCGACACATAGCGAGTGTGGTCCTTGTCAATAACCTCGTAATCATCCATTTCGCTCTTTGGGGGGTCGGAGAGGTCGATATCGTAATATTTTTCCCCGCCCCCGCCGCCGCTGCCGCTTTTGGTGTTGGAGCTGGAACTGCTAGAGCCAGTCCTAGAACTTCTAGAGCCAGACCCAGAACTGCCAGTGTTGGAGGGGGGTTTTGAAGATGAGGAGTTGGTTTTGTCCGGCATTGTGACTGTGCGTGTGTGCGTGTACGTGTGTGTGCTTGTGGGATATGTGGATGTATGGGTTGGTGTTGCTGTGTTGCTGTGTCGCTGTGTCGCTGTGTCACCCGTCAGGTTGAAAGGTACTTTTCTTTGCGAAAGCGTGCGTGGATTCTTCTGGATGGTGGCAATTAATGTTTGGTGCGATGTCTGATGATTGTCATAAGTCAGTAGGTAAGGTAGCACGAAGAGGTGTGTTGCGCAAACTCGGAGGTGCAAAGATTAAAGTTGTCTTGGGTGGCTGGCTGACTGTTTTCCGCGATAACAAGGTGTTGTTGGAATGCAGGATATTATGACCATGACGAGAGGTAAGTAATAAGGTAATCCAGTGTTGTCCAAACCCTGTGTGACTGACTACGGGAGCTTATCTGTGATGCGTGAGGTCTGGGTTATGTCTGGCTTTGCTCATTAAGAAGTGGTCGAGAGGCCAACGTAGGACTTGTAGCATTTTCATCTGAACATAAACAAAAGAATTGTTGGTCCTGGGACGCCGCCGTGAGACAGGCAGGCACATCTGACGCCAGTTAAGTTTGGCTTTGGCGACTAAATCATCGTCACTTCCGTCTTGCCATGCCGCGCTCCGGAACCCCAGGCTTTAGTAAGTATCACCATAAAACAACTGGCTGCTCCTGACTCATTGTTGAATCGTCACAACGATTGACTAGTTCATAATATCGAATAAATTGTTCCACGCCTAAAATATTGTTGATCATTCTTGTTCAAAAGTGCGAGACCATATGCCTCACAGTGGACAATGACAATTTTTGACGGCCCTATTAATGTTGATTTGTCTGTCTAATCAACTGGCCCGAACGCCCAACAATGTAACATCAGCGATCTCTATCGCGTCACAGCCAGCAACAACGACCTCTCTGCCTTTGTATTCCTGGCCATTTTACTTCGGGATTTACGTCACAATTCACTGGCCCCCCTTTACACCAAGCCATCGCACCGTCTTGTGAATCCAGACATGTGAACAATACTTCTGTTTTATTTTCAATCTCACTCAGAGGCTGACTCACTCCTCTGCGTAGTAATTCTACAATCTGAATTTGTACCAAGGTAGCGTTATACATGGGAGAGAAAGCGACGCGACACAACCTGCTGCCCCACCACCACTCCTATCGCCCTCTGCAATCGAGACAACTATTTCAACAATATCTTTCTCAATCAACTACATTGAATGTGACTGGCATACCGTCTTTGTAGCTCTCCGTCTACGCTACAAGAGAAAAGCCATGACTCCCATGTGCATCGTATACGTTGCCAGTTTGAACGTGAGCCCCAGATAATCGTGCCGTCAAATCAATAAAACTGTCATGACGAAAGGAAAAAGAGAACAGAAACCAGTCATAGGCAAGTCAAAAACCCACAGTTTTGGGTTCGATGGTGTACTGATACTCTAGGATAACAAACTTCCTCCTAAGAGGTCGAGAAAAAAAAAGAAAACGCAACGCGGACGGCAGACAATTTGTCTTCGAAAGGTACACTCAAAAGGTACACTCATACAAAGGGAAAAAGGTCGATGTCTTCGGAAATATCGATGCAATGACAAGAGGTGATAAGGTAGTCGGCTAACCTCGACATTTTGACTTATTCGTTAATAAGTTCAAGAGGAACTTCCTCAGACAGATCAAAGACCAATGACGGTGTCGTGCCATCACTAGTAGGAGTCGTGGCCCCATCATGTCCAGTCCCGATGGAGGTGACTGATCCCGAAATGCCAATCTTGGGAACCGCAGGAGGTTTCTGTCCAGTCGTCGGCTTGCCGTCAGGAACATTTGAAGCAGGTTTGGCCTTTGCTTCTGTCTCTCGGGCGGCAATGATTCCAACCACAATATCTTGGCACACTACAAGTACCACGTTAGTAACCTCATCAGACAGCAACGACACAACAATAGACCAGAAAACCTACGTTTAGAAATAGTCTGCGCATTCAGGATCTTCATGACCGCAACATCATGCCCGATGTTCTTCCACATCCACGACCGCATCTCCACAGCGACTAGCGAATCAATCCCGAGGCTGGAGATGTTCGTCTGACAGGTGAGCGTATCTTTGCCCAGCTGAAGTTGGCGCTCCAGCCGGTCGATGACAACCGGTTCCACAATGCCCAACAGCTCTTCTCGAGTGCTCACCGCACCAATCCGATCCTTCACACTCAGCTTGCGACATCCAACCCCACTGCTCTCCGTCGTATCTTCTTCGTACCAGTAATGCGAGAAGCGCGGATCATAGTGCCACGCCAGCGAAGGGTCGTGGACTGGCCATCGTCTCAAGCCAGTGATAATGTCGGAAATCTGGCCTGGCCCAGGGGCCCCGGTGTAAATTGCCTCCATAAACATGTGATGGATATCGCGCTCTGAGATGGGTGGGTATCCGTCACGCTCGAGTCCTCCGTAAAGCTCGCTCTTCTCGCGATGCAAGAAGCCAAGACCGTAGATGACGCCAATGTTGAGGACCGAGGCCGCCAGCCCACGCTTGCGTCGCGCCATTGCCAGCCCATTCATATACATGTTCCCGGCCGCATAGTTGGACTGTCCGGGGTGTCCGCCCATGGCAGCAAAGGAAGACACCAGGATGAAGAAATCCATGTCCGATGAGCTGAAGACAATGTCAAGGTTCTTAGACCCAACCGTCTTGGGTCTCATGACGCGATGCAGTGTGTCGACAGACATCTCGGAAAAGACGCGGTCCTCCAGAACCATGGCACCATTTGCAACGCCGCCAATGGGAGGCCAGCTCTCAGCGAGTCTGGACTTCAAACCCAGCACTTGGTCCTTTCTCGTGACATCCATCTTCTCGAACTTAATATTGACCCCCTGAGCAATAAGTTCTTCCTGCCAGGCTGTATGCGCCTCCGGCGGGCTTCGGCTTGCCAGGATAATGTGGCGCGCTCCCTGGTTAACAAGAAAAGTGGAGAGGCTCTGACCGAAATCGCGAGTCAGTCCAACAAGAAGATAAGTTCTGTCGGCTCTCAACAACTTCCTCTCAAAGGTGGGCTTGATGATCCGCGAGATGGAGCGTTCCGCCTTCCAGTCCACGATCATGAAGGGATATGGCGACTTTTGGGCTTGGAGGAGATCAGGAACCGTCGTCAATTCAGGTCGGAAGTTCCAGTTCGAGCCCTTTGACTTGGACAGCGCCAAACCCACAGCCTCCTTCCAGACGCTCTCAAGACGCTGAGGATGCTCACAAACGTCAACAAAGAGTGGCAAGTCACTGGCGTCGTGCTGCTCGGGGGTTAAGAGGGAAGATCGAGAGTAATAATGGCAGTTTGCAGGCGCAGACTCGGCCAGAATCTTCGATATCTCGCTGTTGTCAGGTAGCATGTCAACAACACATGAGTCGTCGTGACGGTAGAGCGCCTGCACATCTCTATGAGTTGAGTTCGAGTGAATGAAGGTTGTGCTCGGGATGAGGCTGCATCGCTTCTCGTCGGTCGTGCAAACACGGAAGAAGATTCCACGCTTGACTAGAACATCTTTCGCACACTGCTCAAACAGCTCGTCGGGGTCAACCAGCAAAACATTCTTTCCCTGCACGACATGAGCAACAGTGAGGGCCGTCAGGTATCGACTGAGCAGCGCAAGGAACAGCGGCAGATCGGTGTGCCCATGTGGAATGTTGCTTATGCAAGTATGATGCGGTGCGACAAATGAAGCGTTGGTCTTTGAGAGGGTAGCTAGCATTTGACCAGTGGAGTGATTGCGGCCAACGCAGACATGCGGCGAGTTTCCGAGTCCCAGGTTCACGACATCAACCGTGCTGTACTCAACACAAATCGTCGACTTGTCACGCAAAGAGAATGATGAAACTTCAGCCTCATACTGAGTTGCGATATGCTTGGACCGAGTAGGCACAATCTCAACCGACTTCTTCAGTGTATTGACTGGATTTGAGACAACTCTCCGATGAGCA